CATTTCCTTCTCTCAAAGAAGCGAGCGAAAGGGGGAAGGGGATGTTTCGAAGATATTGTGGGCACTAGAACTAGTGTTCATGGTTGACTCTTTTGGCTTTTCGTTGGCCATTTTTCTGAAGCGTTGCTTTCAAATGAACAGAAGTTTCGCCACGGCCAAATCCACCAATTGGAATGGATCCATCTGAATTCGAAGAGCTCGAGTCGCGGCTTAAAAATCTCCGAGAAGACAAAGATAAGGTGACATAACTATATCTCGGAAGGTGAACTGCCCAGCTGGTCCGTGGAATACTAAGGGGGAAAATTTGCACTTGCAGCTGCGGATTGCACGAGCTGCACTGTCTTCATCGACAATCTCTCCACAGCAAGCTATCACTCTTTTCAAGCATTTCAACTACTCTCAGGGACGTCTGTCCTTCGTCTTAATCGTGGCACCGAGACTCTCCTCGCAACAGTCGGATCCCGTGGAGTTACTGCTCAAAGGACTCCCATACGAAGATGAGCGTCAGGAGGCGAGAAAGAGAATAAATGAGGGCTCTGCGGGTCAGTAAAGGGCAGAGCTCTACAGATTAGCTCCACAGAGCATGCTCTGTCCCGGGCTGGAACGGTAGAGGGAGATAAGAGCAGTTAATGGGAGCTGGTATTTGAGACTTCAAGGCGACGTTCGCATGTAGAATTGAAGTTCTATTGAAACGGACGATCGCTGTGGCCACCGGCTCCATTTTCTCTTCACCTTCAGCTCTCGATTGGCAGAAATGGGGAAGCCAAAACGAGACAAACCCTCGAAAGAGCGAACAAATAAAGACTCTCAGGGAACTAGCAACACTCCACGTGCCGAAAGTCCCGATGATGGCGGCAATGCCGCAAGCGATAGCACCCCTGCACTTTTACAGGAAATCCTTGCACTAGGAGGATCACGAGAGGACTTGGACTACCTTGCCGATGTGCTCTCGGACGATGAAGAAATTGCGATGAGCGGGCTATCGTCTGATGTAGTGGCGGAGAAGAAACGCACAACGAAGGAGAAGAGACAGTCTGCCAAACTTTCCAGTGAGAAACAGAAGGCCTCCAAAGGATCAGATAAGCTATCAGAGGATCTCAAAAACCTGATATCCCAACTTGGACTGAAGCCCAGTATGGCGTTCGAAGGGGAGGACGAGGAAGTCACCACGGAGAGCAACGATGAAGATTCAACGAACGCTCCTTTGCCGAAAGAAGACATCAAAGGAAAACGTGAATCTGTACCAGCTTCAGCTAACATTGAAAAGACGACCGGCAATTCGAAGTCGAATCCCGCCCTTTTGAACGACGTGGAGAACTTCGTTGCAAACCTGAAAGGCACTGCTCCGACAGCTGGGGAAAAGGCGCGATTTGAAGCTGCCAAGAAATCCGGGGGCGCTGCATCTGAGACTGTACCGAAGTCAGAGCCCGCTGAAGCGGCAGTTAAAAGCCAATCCCAGACCAAGAAGGGAAGGTTCCTCATTCCGCCAACACCACAATGGTGGACGTTATATGATACGCTTACTTCTACGGATGAGCTGAAGCCAGGGACGAAAAGACCGAAGGCCCCGCCGACAGAAGTTCGGGAGCGAAGAATCAAAGAATTGTACGAACGCGCTAGAGGTGTGCTCGAAGACGAATGGAAGAAGTACGAACAAGGTATGAGCACGTGACGCACGCGATATACCTCACCTTATTCAAAACTAATTCTCGACTGTGACCAGCCAACCCTACCATGTCCGGCTCGGATTCTTCTTTCTTGTCGCACGTCCTCCAATCCGGTACTACGTCCGACCGCCTTTCGGCTCTCTCCGTTCTTGTACAAACGTCTCCACTTCATACCTTTCGGACTCTCGAACGGCTTGTAAATCTTTGCCGGAAGAAGTCGAAACGGGATGCATCACTCGCACTCGACACCCTTAAAGAGCTTTTGATGAGATTTATCTTGCCTGACCGCAAAATGCGTTACTTCAGAGACTGGCGCGAAGTCGGAGAGTACGCCGATGGAGTTCGTGGTGACATAAAGGGGGAATGGCTTGCGCTGTGGGCATTTGAGGATTCCGTTAAAAAGCTATACTGGGAGGTTATTAAAATCATCGAAGTGAGTCCTCGTTATTGCTTATATTCAGAGAGTTGGGATCTCAGCCCTTCTACAGGAGCTTTCCCACGACACCCTTCCCCACATTCGCTCCAGAATGATTTCTCACATCTATGACATGCTCGCCACGAAACCAGAGCAAGAGCAAAATCTGCTAGCTCTTTTGGTTAACAAGATGGTAAGGGCAGGAAGGGAGCATCTCGCATAAGAGTCCGCTAAAGCTCATTTCGACAACAGGGAGATCCAGCACGGCCACTCGCTTCCAAAGCCATACACCACATACATCTTCTACTTCGAAAGCACACGCACCCCGTATTCAAGCTTATCGTCGTCTCTGAAGTCGAACGCCTGCTGTTCCGTCCCAATGTAGCCAACAGGGCTCGTTATTACGCCATCGTGTGTTTGAATCAGTTGGAGCTGAGACGAGGGGCAGAGGGTATCGGCGCCGCCGACGATCCGGATATCAAATGCGCCAACAAGCTCATTGGTGTCTACTTCGCTGTTTTTGAAGAAATGATGTCACAGGATGGAAGCCGCAAGGGACATGGAGACACCGAAGTAAAAGAAGAGGAAACGGATAAGCCTATGTTAGCGAAAGCCTCCCCCACTCCGGCTCCGAAACCGTCTTCGTCACAGTCGAAGAACAGTGCACCAGGAACACAGCTTTCGGAGCTGACTCCAGCAGAAAGCGCGAAGATGATGTCTGCATTGTTGACGGGTGTGAACAGAGCGTTTCCTTATTCCAAGTTGGAAGACGAAGTGTACGTAATATTTTTGGTCCCACCACGTGGCATGGCAATAATCCTCGGTGAACTAGGTTCGACAAGTACCAGGCCACCCTCTTCCGGTTGGCGCACCATCGAACATTCGCAACCGCACTGCACGCCCTCACCCTCCTTCAGCTCATCTCGGCGCACCGCAATAGTCTGTCCGATCGTTACTACCGTGCACTTTTTGATCTTCTCTTGCATCCCGGTCTTCTCCACCATCCCCGTCCAGCGCCGCTCCTTAATCTTGTTTACAAGTCGCTGAGAGCGGATCACAGCATACCTCGGATAGCAGCTTTTGTCAAGCGTCTTCTTCAGCTTGCGGGATACGCTAGTGTTCCTCTGGCTTGCGGCATTTTGGTCCTTATCGGTGAAGTTATGGTTGCCAAAAAGGGCCTTGCGGTCATGGTACGAGAGCCCGAAGAGCGGACAGAACAATGCGATGACGCAGCGCCTTCTGGTCCCTCTGGACCCGTATCCCGCGAAGCAGATTCTCGCGCGAAGCATTATGATGCAAGATCCCGCGATCCACTGCATGCGTCTGCGAACCGCGCGTGTCTCTGGGAACTGTCCGTCTTGCGAAACCATTTTCACCCGACGATTGCGCTGTACTCAAACCATCTTCTTGAACATGCGGGAGAGTCCGGTGTGCCCTTCCCAACGAATGCAACCAATTATGATCCGCTGAAGAACCATACTCTGGCTCGATTCTTGGAAAGATTCGTGAACAAGAATCCCAAGAAAGTGGACTCGCTCCAAAAGGGAACTGGTGGAATCGGTCAACCGCGGGTGGAAAAGGAGGGCAAGGCGGGTACAAAGAAGAGCTCCCAATCCGGTCAGGAAGAAGAGGATATTGGTGTGTTGTTCCATGGAGGAAAGAAACGCAATGTGGTGCTGGCAGACTCTAGAACAGGGAAGTCGCGGCAATTCGACGATGACGTGGTTGGAAGTGCGACATGGTTGCGTAAGAAGGAAGAAGAAGTTCCCGTCGATGAGCGGTTCTTTTGGGAGTTCTTCTCCGGTAAGCCCAAGGATACAAATCGCAAAACAGGAAAGGCCGCAAAGAAAGACGATCTGGATGCTGATGACGACTTTGGCCGTGACGGAGCGAAGGACGATGGGTTTGACTCTAATGATGAGCCTGAGAGTGGAGACGAAGGCGAGGAGGGCTTTGACGAGGACGAAGTGTGGCAAGCGATGGTGAAGAGTGGGGCAATGCAAGGTGTTGATGGCGCCGGAGAAGACGAAGATGAAGATGTGCAGTTCTCCGACGACGCCATCGGAAGTGATGATGAAGACGTCGAGGAGAATGATGACGGTGGGAGTGAACCGGAGGGAATGAGTGAAGGCGAGGATGATGACGCTGGTGACATTGACATGGGCGATATGGATGCTTCAGGCAGTGAACTGGAAGAACTGGAAGAAGATTCTGAGGAAGAATCACAGAAGCAAGGAAAAGATGTGCCCAAGGTCAAGCGACCCCGCACACAGACTCAAAGACTTCTGATGGCAGCGCAGTCTTTGGGCTATGCTGGCTCTTGGAAGCCAAGAGGAGCTGGCGATTTTGCTAGTGCGGAAGATTTCGAGACTGTGCTTGGGGCCGGGGGGGCCGATGGTGATGAAGGGCAGGGATCTACAGGAGATGAATCTGGAGGAAGTGAGGACGAACTTCTCCGCAAGGGCTTCGCGGATTCATCTGATGATGAGGGAGACAATGGAAAACGCAAATCGTCTAATTCCCGTGGGGGAAAACCTCCTCAACACAAAAAGCGGAAGCGTGTCGGGGCGGACACTAGACCGAACCAGAAGCAGTTTGGGAAAAAGGCGGCTGGTAAAAATAGAGCATGAATACCATATCTATTGATGTACATAACGATTTGACAAATGATCACATGATGTTTGATGGCAATCCAAGCTCGTGTCCGCCAGTCTGGCACCACTTCTTTCAACATAGTAATGAGTACATAAGTAGTGTGGAAGGATGACACTAGATGAGACCATCGAAAAGTGAAATCATTTGGCTGGTTTTCATCTTTTTGCTCACTCAAAAATTGATCGGCTTGGTAGTTTTGGAGAAAAGTATAGTAAATATCTGTTATATAGCAAATTTCAGAAATATTTACAACAAGAGCCGCGAGCACCGTGGCGAAGTGGGATCGCGACGGGCTCATAACCCGTAAGTCGGTGGATCGAAACCACCCGGTGCTAAAATTTTTGTTTTTGTTTCGAGCACTTTGATATTAACAGAAGACTTCTCGACTTCTGCTAACTCTTTCATGGCAGCAAGCGGCAAGCGAAGGGCGAACAGGAATCCGGTGTCTGCGGTCGACCACAGCATCAGTGGGACTTGTTTTTGCTGCTCTTCGATTCACGCAGAAGGAGGACTTGGAAGGGCGGGACATCGATGGACTATGGGATCCACACTGTCTGAAGGTCGCACGGACGATGTTCATGCCCTCTCCCGGTCCGCACGAAACCCGATGGCACGCTCCCCACAGCTTCCCCATCTTCCAGCTGTCGCCAGACGAAGGACAACGGATGGGGAGGGAGCGCGTTCGATCCTGGGGCTTGCCGTACCGGGTGGCTTCCACGATAACTTGATACACCGCGATCCCAACATGGTATCTATCGCGTCCTCACGAAACGCGGAAGACTTTTCATTATCGGTAAGCGCAAGATTATCTTCTCTCGGTGATGGATTTACACTTGCTAAGTGACGATATGTTGGTTTGCAGGCGAACCAACGAGGTACATATATGCGACTTAGGGGTGAAACTGGAAGAACAAAATAACTTTCTTTCTTTGCGGTAGGACTCACTGACTCGGCACGTCGACCGGTTCCTATCAGCCGCGGTCAATCAGCGTCGTCACCAAGTCCAAGTGGCAACACTAGCACTAAAGCTCGTTCTGGGGATCCCGGGTCTCATGAGGGATCGAAAGATTTCAGCTCAGGATCTATATCAAACCACCCTGGTGCCAACGCGTGGTTGAGCTCTGCCCATGGCAAAGATTTGAAGATTGTGACCAATGTTTCTCCGTCCCGAAAGTCGCCCAATTCCGCCCCACCTACATCGTATGAAGCTCTGCGTTCCCACGACAGACATGAGGATAGCTCTGGTTCCGTCAACGTCGGGGGTTCTTCTATAAATGTTTCCAAGTCCCTGCTCACGGCGAGTTTGGGAGTGGGTCTCTCAAGCGGACTTCGCGCGTCCTCTAAAAGAACGTTGGAGTCCTATGGAGGTGTTGCACTGCGAGGGTCCAACATGTCACTGGCTGCAAGAGCGCTTGCAAGCGAAGTCTCGTCGCGACCAGGTGCAAGCCGAAGCCATTTGTCTTCCAAACCTTCAATTGCGGGAGCTCAGGATGCAAAACAGCTCAGGTCGCTGGCTGGTTCCTCCCACCTATCATCTCCCTCATCCCCCTTCTCTCAGAAAGTGCACCCGACTCACGCCGGCGACCGTACGATGGGCAGTCAATCTCTCAAGTCACTTTTTACAAACGGTTCCCCCCGTCAGCAAATTGAAGGAGGCTCTCGGCAACATCCAAAGCCACCACCCCTTGAGAAGAATCTATCGTCTTTCTCAACAAATGGGTTGTTTCTGACAATTTCTGGAGCTTCTTCGGGGGCGAGCCAGACCTCCACAACCCCGAGCACACCGGAGCTCACAAGCTTTCACCGACAACTTGCGATCGGCGGCTCTGATCAAAAACGCTCCTTTCCCGCAGTCTTTGGCAAAGAGTCTCCTCCGTCTCCGACGAGCCCAACTCTTGACACTGTTGCACACGACTATTTCGCAGGAAACAACATTGCTACCGTGGATCCCCCAATAGCGAATGAAGCCGACCTGCCGTATGCGGGAAGTCCCCAATCTCGCCCACAGTCTGCTGTCGCCAATCCTTTTGAGCGCAATGACCGACCAGGCCAGCAAGTTCGAGTTGGACGATCACGAACCGTGTCTGCTGCGGAACGACCTAAAAGCTCTCCCGAGGCAAACTACACTCCGCCACCCACTGTCACTGCTTCTGCGAATCTAATTGGGAGGACAGAGAATCGTGAATACCCAATAGTCCGTGATGGGGACAGTGATGTGGCTGGTAGACTCAAGGATGGATTACCTAAATCGCAAGTCCGTTCTCGATCGCAACCCATTACTTACACGCCACTGGATCCCTCCCAAGCGAACATTTTATCTGGAAAATCGCGTTTCATTGATGGAGACCAAACAGCATCCACGATTGTGACACCCCCGGAGCACTTGAAAGAGTTCAGTGCATCTCTGCCCCCGCGTGTTGGGTTGGCTCTGGCTGCTAACAGCGACCCGACTTCGAATTCTTCTGTTTCAAAGCCGAAGCCTTCAGATGAGAGCCCCAGGCAAATGGGAACTGGGCAGCAACCACCGCCACTCGCCTCAAACACGTCTATCGGTGGCCCTCGGCCCCAGATGTCGCGACCCTCACTGTACGAAACATTCGGTGCTTTGCCTCCCCCGTCATCGCAGGACCGGGTGAGCGACGGTGGTGTTGAAGCTCTACGCGAGGCTGTGCGCAGTGGGACCACGTTGGCGAATGCAATGAAAGCAAGCTCACGAGATGCTCGAGGGTCAGCGGGGGAAACGAAAACGCTGTCTCTGTCCAGCGCGGAAACCCCTGGCACCTCTGGACCATCATCGACGGAACAAACAAAAGTGCCCTCGAATTCAAGTTCGAAACCCAGTCAGGGCACTTCTACCTCCACCGTTGATAAACCCTCGATGAACATCCAGTTAGCTTCTCACCTCAGCTCTCGTGACCCACCCGAATCAAAAGACTCACCAGGCAATATGTCAGAACGTCCTGATGTGATGTTTGACCCCACTCCTAGTCCTCCAAAACGCGAAAACAGTCACAGACGCGCACTTGCACCGAGTTCTGCGCAGATCCCTGTGTTTGACTTGGGGGGGAATTCAAATGGAGCTCTGAAGGAGGTCGTCATAAACGAAGCAGGTGGATCCCGTGGACCCCAGTACCTGGATGAAGTGGCGGAAAATGCATTGCGGAATCGTGCAGGGGAGGCGGAGTCTCGGGCTGCGGTTCCAGTCATGCAAGTGAGATATTTGAATGACAGAAGGTGTGAGCATCACAACAAATTTGTATTGCCTGACAGGGACGCTTGGCATCAGAAGTGGTACCACCAGGAGCCTCAGTCACCAACCTCTCTACGACCAAATCCCTACTCCATAACCTAACCGACACTCAACTCAACGTCCTTCTCCTCCACATTGCCCGCACCGGCCACAGTAAGACCCTATCACTCCTTCTCGAGTCGTGCCGTCTCGATCCAGACCTTCGAGATGATGAGGGGCGTTCGGCACTTCATTACGCCTGCATGGCCGGTCACGTTGATGCTGCTTCGATCCTTATACAACACGGGGCTACAGTGGACCTTGCTGACTACAGCGGACGCACTCCCTTGCATTGGGCAGTGTACTATGGCCGCTACAGGCCAACGAAAGCACTCCTGCAAAATGGAGCCAACCCCTCTTTGACAGACTATGCTCTCCACACACCTTTACATTGCTCAACCGGTCCAGACGCAATAGATTGTCTCAGTTTGCTGATCGATGCCATATTATGCCATAGACGAAAGAAGGGCTGGAATTTCCAACGGAAGAAAAAGTCATTTCTTTCTGTGGAAGGTTCGAAGCTAGATCCCAAAGATGAAGGCGGAATGACCCCACTTATGTGGGCCTGCTTGCGCCGTCGGATATCTCATGTTCGAATTCTGTGCCAGAGTGGGATCGACTTATCCGTCAGTGACTCTGACGGAAAGACCGCTGCTCACTGGGCCGCAGTAGGCGGAGACGTGGAGTGCGTTCAAGAGCTGGAGCGGATGTCGAGAAAGCAACCCAACCTCGTCGTGTTTATGTGCTCTGCCGACAAGCTAGGCCGCACACCACTCCACATCGCAGCCTGCGAGGGCCAAGTAGCTGTAACCATGGAACTTGCACGCATTTCGGCCGAAAGTGCTACCTTGGGGTTGGACGCCTGTGACAATGACGGCCGATCAGCGTTACATTGGGCGGTTACACAGGGTCGGGCTGCTTGCGCTGCCATCTTAGTACGGATGGGAGCCGACCGAGATGTTGCTGACATCCACGGCGCTCGTCCGCTGCACTATGCTGTGCAAAAGGGCCAGTTGGAGTGCGTTATGGTTCTTGTTCGTGAAGGTGTCACAGGTGGAGCGAAAGGAGCGGACCTCAATGCGAAAGATAGCCTAGAAAGAACAGTGGCGATGTGGGCAGCGGTGGAAGGGAGGCATGAGGCGTGGAAGATGGTGCTGGGAATGGGTGCGGATATAGAGATACCAGATGCGGCGGGATTGACAGGTGAACCTTTTTTTTTTCTTTGTGCTTTTATGAAAGGAAACACAAAAATCTAACAAACGGCTGGATCAACAAAGTTTTACATGCCGCCACATCAGCTGGCCACACATCTCTTGCTCTTCATTGTCTCCATCTTCAACCTTCCCTCCTCCAACGGCGGGACAACCGCGGACGCACCCCCCTTCACCTGGCTGCTGCATTCAATCGTGCCGATCTCGCCGCTCTGCTTTTACGAGAAGGAGCTGATGTTACCGCTCGCGATGCCTCGGGCCGTACAGCATGCCACTGGGCGGCGGCTGTGGGGGCTGCGGAAGTAGTTGATCTGCTGATGCGTGCTGGGGGAGATCCCAATGCCATTGACTTGCTAGGAACGTCGGTGCTGCATGAAGCAGCATGGTGTGGAGATCCGGAGACTGTGAGGACTGTGGTAGCGTGGGGTGGGGATTTAGCAAAGGAGGACGGGGGCGGGAGAGTTGCAATGCACTGGGCCGCACTCAGGGGTGTGGCTGGGGCGGTGGAGGTCGTCGCTGGTATGGGGGGAGGCGTGAATAAGATGGAGAGTGGGGACGAGGTGAGTTGTGCTCGAGTTGGGAACAATCAGATTGGCTGCTGACAACGTTTGAACTGGCATGGACGACCTGCTTTTGTTGGGGTACGCTGTCCGCTATCACTCCATCGGCATCGTTCAACTTTACTCTCTTTCAAATTACCAGCGCTTCACTCCCCTAGACTATGCTATTGCCGGTGGTGACCGTTCTACCATCGAGCTTCTCTCTGGCAGTTGGGGTGCACTGACTAGAGACCAACTGAGAGAGGCGAAAGCGCGTGGGATACAGCGGTGGTACC